TAAGGCGCCAAAGCCGCAAAACACTGAAAACCCTTCAGAAGCCCATACCAAAAGACTTGGTGCATTCCAAGCAAGCGTGACCAAGTTCACTTGTACAATGTGCCAAACGAATGAGCACAAACTACGCCGCTGTTCCAAATTTTTGAAGCTTACGCCTGATGAGAGGTTTAATTACTTAAAGAGCAACAACAGTTGCCTGAATTGTTTGAGTGCTGCACATACCGTGACGAGGTGCACAAGCCCCTTTAATTGCAGCATGTGCCACTCGCGACATCACTCGCTCCTGCACATTCAGACAAATGTGCCAAAGGCAACAGCGGTTCGAACGCCGCCGGGACTTGCCAATGACACCGCATCCTCCTCTCAACAGGCTCCAGCAAAGCGCAGCTTTAATAATAGAACACATAACAATAAAAGCAAAGACGTTAAGTCTTGTTATGCTAACACAAATTCAGGTGTGCTCTTAGGAACAGCTCGCGTAAATATACGTCTCAATGGCACAGATATTTCAGCTCGAGCACTTATTGACTCTGGTTCTTAGTGTTCATTCATAACAGAACGACTCAAACGCAGAATCAACCTGCCAGCTAAGAGGATGCATGCCCAAGTCTCGGGCATTACGAATGCAACCTCTGCGCAGGTCAAAGAGGCATGCAGCATAGAACTTCGATCCCCTGTTGATCCATTGTTCAGCCTGCACGCAACAGTGCTCGTCCTAACAAGACTAACCGGAAATCTACCATCCTGTCATATCAGCGCTATGACTATGCAGGCATTTCCAGGTCTTGTTCTAGCTGATAAACGGTTCTACGTGAATGAAGAAGTAGACCTCGTACTTGGCGGAGACATTTATCCCCAAATTATTTTATGCGGCTTGAAGAAGAATGTACTCAGTACACTTCTCGCCCAAGAAACAGTGTTCGGTTGGATATTAACCGGATGCACCGATGCACCCACTCCAACCAACAATATAGTTTCGTATCACAGTGAAGTTGCCTTGGACAAACAACTTACTGCATTCTGGGAACTCGAAGACATACCAAAAAACAAAAGCTTGAACGAGGACGACAAATACTGTGACAAACTTTATCGGGAGACAACTCGTAGACGAGAAGACGGAAAATACGTAGTCTCGCTACCATTTAGGCAGGAATTTCCCGCAAACATCTGCCTAGGCCCTTCTCTTAAAAAAGCATGCTCTCAGTTCTTCCGGAATGAGACACGGCTTGCATAGGATGCCGTCCTACAAAAAGAGTATAATAGGGTACTAGCTGAATATGAACCACTAGGACACATGTCCAGAATAAATGATAGTATATCAGCAAACTCTTCCGATAACTACTTTCTGCCTCACCACGCTGTCATAAAGGCAGAAAGTACCTCCACCAAAGTTCCAGTCGTCTTTAATGCCTCAAGTCCAACGGCTAATGGCACAAGGCTGAACGACGTACTTCTCCCAGGTCCAGTTCTCCAAGCAGATCTTCCGATCCTTATACTCCGCTGGAGGTTATACAGATACGTTTTTAATAGTGACATCGAGAAGATGTACCGACAAATTTGGGTGTACAGCAACCATACCAAATATCAACGGATAGTTTTCCGTACAAACCCGAACGAACCTGTAAGTCTATACGAATTAAAGACTGTCACTTTCGGGATTAATTGTGCTCCTTACCTCGCGATAAGGACACTTTTACAACTGGCTGACGATGTAGAAATTTCTTCCCCAATAGCATCTAACATACTACGAAAATGCATGTATGTGGATGACGTGCTAGCTGGAGGACACAGCATCGACTCTACCGTAAGAGCAAGAGATGAAATCTCTAAAGTGCTACGGTCAGCCGGTTTTCCGCTAAGGAAATGGACCTCAAACTGTGCGGAAATTCTAAAGGACATCCCAAAAACGGATCTACTCAGTGAAGACTTTTTGGCATTCGAAGATACCAGCACGGTTAAGGCTCTTGGCATAAGATGGAATGCCCATACCGATCTATTCTATTTCATGGCAAGACCATTGGAGGACCGCGAGACACCTACAAAAAGGGCGATACTATCAGCTATCGCCAAGCTATTTGATCCGCTAGGATGGCTTGCTCCAATAGTCGTCGTGGCCAAAATAATCATGCAGAGTAGAGTTTTGGCTAGAAGGCACAGACTGGGATGAGACTGTGTCTTCTACTGCTATGGAACGATGTCACAATTTTACCAAACATTACCATGAAATACACAATATTAGAATACCTCGATGGGTACACTTCGCACCAGGAGATGACATCGAGATACATGGTTTCTGCGACGCATCGGAAAAAGCATATGCGGCTACTGCATACATGCGCGTCAAAAGAGATGACAAAGTTTTGGTCAACCTTCTTTTGGCAAAAACCAAAGTAGCTCCTGTCAAAACAATATCGCTACCACGACTAGAGCTTTGCGGAGCCGTACTGCTCGCGGAAATCATAGAATCAGTAATCAACAACCTCAACCTAGGGCAAGTGAAAACATATCTTTGGACATATTCGACCATCGTACTCGCATGAATACGAAAGCCGCCTTGTTCTTGGTCAACTTTTGTCGCACACCGAATTACGAAAATAATAGAAAAAGTCGGTAACAGGGACTGGTCGCATGTAGACTCGGCTTCAAATCCAGCCGACTTAGCTAGCAGAGGATTGCCTGCGTCAGAGTTGGTGACCAATTTTTTGTGGTGGCAGGGACCTTCTTGATTGCAAGAAGACAACTCTAAATGGCCTGCTCAAGAAATTAACTATCACACAGAAGTTGAAGAAAAAAGGGCACACGCTTATGCATCAACAAAAGTAAATGATATCGATATTCTTGACCGGTTTTCAGATCTACCGAGAGCTTTGACAGTGTTAACATATGTCATGAGATTCTATCGAAGAACTCACCCGAAAACTAAAGCTTTATTTCAGGAAAATTCTTGTTTAATTTCATCAGATGAAATTAAGATGACGACACATCTCTTGATAAAAATCAACCAGAAGCAACACTACGGTGAGGAAAACAGGAATTTGAAAACTAGAAAACCCATCGATGCAAAGAGTGAAATCCTTCCGCTTAATCCGTTCGTCGACAAGCACGACATCATCAGGGCTGGAGGTCGCCTCGGAGCATCCCAGGACTTAGCTTATAATGAGCGCCATCCAATCATTATTCCGTATAACTGCAGGTTGTCCCGTCTTATCGTCCTGATGATTCACCAAGTCTCCTTACACGGAGAAAATCAGCTCATGTTACGCCTTAGCCGTACCCAGTACTGGATTCCCAGGGTAAAAAACATGATTAGGTCTACCATCCACAATTGTAAAATTTGTACCATCTACAAGAAACGATCTCAGACGCAAATTATGGGAACTCTTCCTCAGGAACGCACAACATTTACGCGCGCGTTCACGAATACGGGAGTAGACTTCACGGGACCCTTTGAAATTAAAAGTTACCGTGGTAGAGGTTGTCGAATTTCCAAAGGCTATGTTTGCCTATTTGTTTGTTTCACCACTAAAGCGATTCACTTTGAAGCCACCAGTGACCTTAGTACCCCATCCTTTCTAGCAGCATTTCCTCGGTTCGTGGCTAGAAGAGGATGCACGAAGAATATCTATTCCGACAATGGTACAAATTTTTTCGGAGCTTCGCGATCTTTACGATCTGAATTCAAAGCTTTTTTTGTCTGACGCGCGAGACAAAACGATTTCCAAATATAACCATCAAACATTTGAGTGGCATTTTATACCTGCTACCGCTCCTCACATGGGAGGACTCTGGGAGGCAGGTGTAAAGAGCTTTAAAAGCCACTTTAAAAAGGTGGCGTCCGCTCACAAATACACCTTTGAAGAGCTCAGTACGCTTTTATGCCGGATTGAGGCATGCCTTAATTCGCGACCACTGAGCCCCCCTTCAAATGAGCCAAATGATCTGGAGCCGCTTACTCCAGGCCATTTTCTTACTGGTGGACATCTTATGGCTCCGCCAGAACCTGATGTGAATGAGAACCCTGCCTCCATCGTCAATCGATGGCAAAAACTAAAAGCACTGCATCAGACGTTTTGCAGGCGATGGAAAGTGGACTACTTAGCCGAACTACAAAAGCGAATTAAATGGAAGCACCCCAAGGAGAATATGAAAATAGGTGATCTCGTTGTTATAAGGGAAGACAATCTGCCTCCAACTGAATGGAGATTGGGGCGAGTTGTCAACTTACACCCGGGTACCGATGGTAGGGTGCGCGTAGTGGACATACTGACGAAGAAAGGTCAAGTTACCAGACCACTAGTGAAGTTGGTTCTCCTCCCACCATACAGCGAGGGAAACTCGGAGCCAACAACTACGTCATAAATCGCCCATCTTCACCCATATCGTATTCCACTTCCTGTTACAACGAAACTCCACTTCAATGTAATAGGAGTGATTCCATGTGTTAATAGTTAAAAAGGTTACAAGGGAATTATTTTTAATATTTGGAGGTGATGGTTCTTACTCGGGCCCCTCCCGAGTTGATCTGGTTAAAAACAAACGACCATCGTCAGATCTATAATCATAATAGTAATAAATCGCAGAGTAGCGAACTACTCCGCCTCTGAATAAGAAGCAAACAGTAGAAAACTAGCAAGTTTAACAAATGCACGATATGTTTTTTTTCCCAAATTCATCAAAATTCAAGCTTGCTGGTTTTCAATCCGCTTTATTTTGGGGAGATTACATAAACGGAGTACAGACTTTGAACAGCCCCACCCCGAAATGAACTAGTTAAAGTAATAATAATTATAAGGTTTAAACTCACGATTATTTGCTTCCGGTGCGTTTGTTGATAGACGAAATCGTGGTCTGCTTTCTCTAATAGACGCTTCAGAATTTTAGATGTCATACCTTTCATCCGCGTGTTCTCCTTATTGCAGCAGCCCTTTATAAAAACACAAAACAATTAGGGCTCAAATAAAAAGTTAACAAAGGTAAAAAACAAACGGATGGAGCTTTACTTGGTATGGCCACCACCCCATCTTCAGATCTGACGCTCGCAGTAGACTTGGTACTATCCCTGTTAGTTGCTGATGCTTCATCAACTTGATGCATTTGTGAAGGGTATTGTTCATGCTCTAACTTCACCCTACTGGTATCGCAACTGCTCGGTCGACGTAATGTATTGTTAAGTCTCGGTCCCTTTAAGTTCTTCTCTGATTTCAATTTGGCAGCACGTTGTGGCCTTACAAATGAAGTTTCAATGCAACTGGATTGCAATATATCATTCGGTGCAGGCGCAAGAGGCGCCGGCGGTGGAGGCATTAATTGGACCTCAGTTGGCTCCGTATTCGGAACTTTGGCGCTACTTGGGACTGACGTGGGATTCATTTGTGGAGTTTGCACAATGGCATCGTCAATTGCCGCTTCCATGGCTACAACCGTGGCCAGAAGTTTAGAGTTACTAGTACGTGCCGAAATGCGAGACGGCGAAGTTTTTTCAGGGACAGATTCGGCTGTATAGCTTTCATTTAAGTCGGATAACCGCTTTATGAATTTCTCTTTCAACTGATGTAGCTCATCGCAAAATTCATGACTAGCTTCAACTATTTTCAATAATTCTTCCATATTTCGTTCTTTGTCCTGCAAAACAGCTTGCCTCAGATTTACTTTTCATGAAATTGGTTTGCGTGCCATAAGCTAAATTTCATACATTTCATTTTAAAATTGCCCTCAAACTGACCTGAACGTACTGACACCATAACTGAACCACCAACGAATGAATATATATATTAAATTTAAACATGGTCAACAAATACACAGATAGTTAACATTGTAGCCACACACTTAACTCTTTTTTTGTGTGAAATACTTAAATATTGTCGGCCGCTGTGGTGTAGTGGTAAGCAGTGCGCGCTTCCACTCCGCAACGCCTGGGTTCAAACCCTGGTCAAAGCAACGTCGCAAAAAATATAGAAAAAAGGTTTTTTCTTAACAGCGGTCGTCCCTCGGCAGGCAATGGCAAACTTCCGAGTGTATTTCTGCCATGAAAAACAGCTTCTCATAAAAATACAATCGCCGTTCGGAGTCGGCGTAAAACTGTAGGTCCCTCCGCTTTGTGTGACAACATCAAGGCGCACACCACAAATCGGAGGAGAAGCTCGGCCAAACACTAACATATGTGTAAGCGCCAATCTATTATTATATTACTTAAATATTGGAAACCTACTTTATCTCCCATCTGTCGTGTCCAACCATCGAAATTATCTTGATTGCGTGGGAAACCATCAATAAGGAATTTTTGTTGGCCAAAGTTCTGCATCGCTTTCTCGAGCAGCGAGCAGGTCATTTCAACGGGTACAATTTTACCATTGCGTATGTAGTCTTCAATTAGCGTACCATATTCAGAACCCTGGCATGCACGTTCCTCCCGTAACAAATCGCCCGCAGAGAGATGTACAAATTGGTAACGTTCTACAATTTTGGAGCATTGTGTCCCTTTACCAGCACCGGGACCACCCAATACAAAAAACGATATCATCTACTTTGATGATCTACTTCGTAACCCAATTCGGCGGTGCAGCGTCGATCGAGAAAGGAGGTAGGCGGATACAGACGCAAAACTTCATCGACAATCATGCGCAGATACGGCAGTGCATTGATGGTGTCATAGTCAACCGAGCCATTGCCTTTTGTTAGCGCTTCCAACAATTCGGCGCGCAAACGACCCTGTATCTCCGGTTACTTGGCCAACTCGTAAAACGCAAAGGTGATTGTCGAAGAGGACGTGTCGAAGCCGGCCAGCAGCAGCGCTGAAGCGAGAAGCAGCTGGCAGCTCGAATGAAAGTGTGGTGCAGAAGCGTGACTTCTTCGTGGCTCAAGCGGCCATGTGTTCCTCCAGCTTGTTGCCTACCTGTTGCAGCAGCGGATACATTTGCTTCGCCCTCCCGTGAGAAAATAGTGGTGAAAATATCTGATGTATCTCCGTCCATACTTCGTATTGCGCAAAAAACAAATTCAGCGAACCCATCGCATCACCACCGGCGTCAGTGCGTTCGAAGCGGCTGGAAAATGCACTAAAGTCCCTCACGAGCACACGTTTGATGAGCGCAGGGTCACGCAACATCAGCGTATGGTTATGCAGCACATGTATTCCCACAAAGTCATGACCGCTGGCGGCCATTCATTATAATACGATATTTTACGCATACTCACCTAACCTCAAGATTACACAACCGCCGCGTGCCAGAAAAATATAATTGAAATGAGATATGAATTCGCCGTGTGTGTATACGGATTTCCATTGAATTCATTCTGACATTTTTTGCAATGAAAAAATGTACATATGCATGTACACACCTTCCATTGAATAAATTCGCCTTGAATGGTTTCTGACAATTGTACCAATGTACATACATACATGCATTCCACAAAGTGAACGTAGTATGTCGGTCAGCATTCGGAACTTACTGCAATGGCAGTAAATCTACTACACTTTTTAGCGAAATTGATTTTTCTATTGCGGTTTTCAACTCTTGAATTTTTTACCACAACTTGAATTATTACAATATATTTTGAGTCAGTAAAGATGTTTCTGCAACGAAGCATATAGTTATAAAATATAGATACAAACGTAGAATATATTTTATGGTTGGTATAAAAATGTAAAAATCTAGAATCCACGGCAGTTAAAATTCGTTATGTTTTTAAATTCACTGCAGTTTACGAATTAAGTCCGAACAGTGATATCGGTTCGAAGTACAGAAGCGTTTCGTAATTCAAATTCACTCGCTGGTTGTACTAAAACAAATACACTTTTAACTACTAAAAGATGCATTGTCATAAGCACATACCAATGCACTAACTTTTTATAAATATTTCACATATTTTTTATGTAAATTTCAAAAGGGAAAAAGACATTTTGTAATAAAAATTGAAATTAAATTTATGTATTCTGCTGCATATGAGCTACCCTGTTTTTTTGGCCGAGTATCACCTACAATGGCATCCAAACCTTTTTTTGGGTGGCAGGCTAGTTGTAGGGTTGCGAGAATGGCTAAATCTCTCCAAATGTAGAGTAATACGTTTTTCGACAACTTCATGCAATGAAGTTGAACTGCTAATTACGAATATTAGTAGATCAAGTCATCAACGAAAATGATCTTTTTCTTAAGAGCACTTAATATTGGCACTGCCAAACATCATAAAGGCAATTTACAATTTTCGATGTAATAAAAATTTAACTTTGCCAATGCATTCCTGCATAATGGAAGGTATGGCACTTGTGCGATCCACCCTTCATTTTTGTGGGTCGCAAGCCGACATTAGGCCATAGTTACACGTGTTAGTTTGTGAAATACAAATAATTGAACATAATGCCATGTTCCCACTTACCAAATCTTATTTATCTAATAAAGGAAGTAACTTATGTCAAGTATTAGACTATTTCCACCCCAATTACTCGCCACCCAACAATATTTAAATAGATGGTTCACGATAGCAACGGATCGTAAAAAAAGTTACCCATTTATTGCAGCAATCATGACTCGCTTCGCTCAAATGTTGAAGAAAACGGCACAACACGCACATCGTTATCCTAAAGCCTGTCGTTTATGCAACGGCAGACACCCGATAAGGCTGTGTCCGGTCTACCGCGCGAAAAATCCGGAAAAAAGATTGCGCGAAGCGCTCTTGGGTAAATACTGCAGCAATTGCTTGGCCATAGAACATCGCACTGAAAACTGCACAAGTGCGGAGAGATGTCGCCGATGCCACGACAGGCATCACACCACCCTTCACCTGGACCCAGTCGACAGGAGACCCTGGAGTCAACAGGTTGCCGAGGAAGAAGACGAGTTGGATGTGATCTCGATTTATGCGTCCGAATCCGGAACGGAAACTCGGTCTTTCCGTCCGGAACCGGAAACTTTAGAAAGGATCGAACCCGGAGCGGAGACTCGGACTCTCCGCCCGAACAGCGACAGGGTCTTTCCGCCCGCCCCAGCAACCACCACAGGCGAACCAACTTCGTCAGCAGAACGGAACGGTGGCAAGGTATCGCCAGTTAAGAGCGTCAGGCAGCTTCCGAAACGGGCTCACAGACGGAATAATGCACACGCAAGTGTTACGACCCATGATTTCTATCTCACCAACGGCAGTTATCAAGATCGAATCCGGAGGAAGATTGCATCTTATCTGGGCCCTAATAGACGCATGTACGCCGTCAACTTTGATAGCGCGAGACCTTGGGTTACAAACCACTCGAGTAGGGAACCAACGGGGCTGCTTTCTGTGCCTTAGAGGGAAGCACGGCGTTAACAAAAAAGTGGCAACCCATGCGAAAATAATAAATAATTTCCGCCGGATATCTCCGCTCAAAAGCATCGACCCGACGATAGTTGCTCCTTATGTGCACATCAGACTCGCCGACCCGAATTTCTTCGAATCATCTCCAATTCGAATCGTGCTCGGCGCGGACGTGTACGCCGAAATTATTATGCCCGGTAGTCTGCCGACGTCCTTTGGACCCTTTTTGGCCCAAAGTACAATATTTGGTTGAGTACTCTCGGGCGCCTACCGCGCCTAACTAAAAAAAAAATATATAAACAACTCTTTTCAATAACATCTTTTTTTCTTAATCTTGCTTATAATGAATTTTTGTATACGTTTATTTTAGTTTTTTATTTCTAAATAAAAGTGCATTGAATTATGACCACGTCTGTACCTTTATTTCTCTCTCTCTCATCTCCCAGCAGTAGGAAGAAGAACGGACGTTTACGCACTGGTCACCGGAGATATTTTGTTTTGCAGTTTTGAGCAAACAATAAAAATGACTGAAATTGTAAACGGACTCAGGTGAGCCTGGTAGCTGCATCGTAACAAATCATTTTCCAGATGTTGCTTATCGCAATGGGGCCGGTATGCTTAGGCCTTCAGCCTAAATATTACTATTTACGCACCCCCCTAATGCCAGCATATGTACGTGCATAAGTGTCTGTGTAAACATATAATATATATTATATGTTTATGTGCATACACAGATATGTGCATGCGCACATGGGGTAGTATGCACGGTTAATTTTAATATCCCGCCGGATAATGAACTCTCGTCAAGTTTCCCCTTAACTCAGTTATTGTCCGGCGGTCCGATTAAAGGTCCCGTAAAGTTTTTCTTTCACTTCGGTTCAGAAGATCAACCCGAGCAGACCAGCTACCAAGCCAATCCCGTCCAAAGGTATTCAAATATTGTATTATTCGACATTTATATATATATATATCTATACTGAAATAAATCGACTCTATTGAATTCACCATTAACATCCAAATATCTTGGTTCTCTTTATTTATTTTTATCATACTTGCACCGGAGCGTAAGTCCCAATCGCCCCCATGTAATCAAATTCACAAAATTTATGTTTTTCATAAAAATATAATCTTACAATGGACTTTTTTTATTTTAAACTTACATTTAAGAAAACTCCATTCAATGCTATAATTACGATTTGAGCTTTCCAGTTTATAAAACACAAGCGTTAATTATGTACTTAACTATTGATATTATTTTTCATTAAGCATGAATATCAGCATACATTAAAGATGAATATTAGGGCGGGCCTTAGTATTCAGCCGCACCTTTTGTTTTAAGAAAACCAGGTGAAATTAACAAACGAAACTTGGTCAGGATGTTAAGGAAGGTATCCTCTAAAACATGTATAACTTAAAAATATAAAGAATATAATAATTTATAAGTTATTTGTTTTTAAAATTTCCTAAGTCATTCCACTTGATTTCCTATCAAAGAGTGCTTTTGTCACATACTTTCATGTGCATACATATATAAATGCACATAACACTACCTAATAGTTTACACACTTTATTTTATTTTATCTTGTATATAAATCACTTTAATGCAACTTTTATTGACTTGTAAACTAAAGTAAATTGCACCCATATTTATAATAACAAAGAACCTAGATAACAAGAAGGGACAACTCGTTATAATTGTAGCGAAAGTACGCAACAGGGGCGTGCCTTCTCTTTTGCCCTAGTGCGTTTTTTGATTGGTTGGACGAGTTGTCCCTTCTTGTTATCTACGTTCTTTGATAATAACACATGGTTGCAAACTGACACATAAGATGTGTTGCCATACTGTTCAAAACAATATAAGAGAAAGGAAAATTCTACGTAGTCAGGGTTATAATTCCTAAGTGCGGCCGAAGGCCACCTACGCAGACAGATGTTCAGCCCCCTTCTTCGGCAACACAGAAAGGAGAATTCTACTTAGTGAGAGTTATAATCCCTAAGTGCGGCAGAAGGCCGCCGACGCAGAAAGTTGTTCTCTGCAAAAGGTGTTCAGCCCCTCTTCTTCGCAACACAGAAAGGAGGATTCTACTAAGTGAAAGTTCCGAATTGAAAATCCGCTTTTATTATTCAAAGTTCCTGTCTTGCAGCACCAAGTTTGATGTTATTTTGCCATCTTATTCATCGATTATACGAAAACTTTAACAACAAATTATATAAAAACTATAGCGTTGCTAGAAAAAACGGGAAGGAGTGGGGGCGGGGGGGTATTTTTGAAATCAGGGAGTCCTATTCTACCCCCATTCAACCTCACTTTTTCTAGAATTTGCCGTCCTCATACTAAAATTTTCCCGAACATTATACGTAACGTACATTTTGTTCATAAATAACACATAATTATGTATATTTTATCCCCGAAATGAACATTTTCTAATCATGAGGCGAAATTCCCCAAAGTAAG